CTAAATGTCTGTTGAATGAATAAATGAATGAATGAACAATTCCTTCCTCTTCTAAGAATGATCCTCAACCAGCTATCCAAAACCAGCTGAATTCTGGCTCAGCCTGTCTTGCTAAAGCCCCACACAGCATTCCACAATTCCTCCACACCGAGGGAGGGCTGTGATCAGCTGGTCTACTCATGTGTGTCCTCCAGAGTCACTCCTTCCGGGACAAGGCTGGAGACTCTTTGTGGACCGAGCAGTAGCCGGCCTCCTCTCTGTGGCCAGTACCCGGTATGAGGCCAGGCACATAGAGGAATGGGAGATGAGACATCGTCTGCCAGCTCCGCTCCTCCCTCCCTCTGCATCCTGGCTTCCTGGAATCATAGACCGGGCACTCCCCCTCCACTACCCGACCTGCGTCTCTCACCACTCAGCGCTTCCTGCCTCACTTTCTGCCAGGCTCTGTGATGGGAGCCTCAAGTGTGTCATAGCCCTGGTGGTGGAAAATGTCTCTAAGCAAGTCAGCCTAGGGGATGTCCCAGGCCTGTCACAGGTGCTGGTGGTGAGCTCACATTTAATCAACACTCCCTCCCCCACTACCGAATGCACTGTGTGGCCCGGGACATGGCACCGCCATCCCCTCAGGGCCTCAGGGCCTCCGGGCCTCAACTGAGGAACAGGACTCAGAACCTCTGTCATTCCTATCTTGTGAGGTCACTGTGTGATTGTATGAGATACCAAGGGTTCACACACTTTGGAGCTGTAAGGAGCTGTGCCATGTGGGTACTAAATATTGCCTGGGTTCAACTCCTTGCTCCACTGCATTCTAGCTGTGTGATCGTGGGCAAGTCACTTGACCACTCTGAGCCATAGGCTTAGCTAGAAAATGGGCTAAGAATAGTACCTCCCTCGTGGCATTTGTTTAAGGATCCAGTGAGTTAAGGATCCTTCTAGCGAGTGGAAGGATCAATGTGCTTAGAACAGAGTCTGACGCATCTAAGTACTCAATACCTGCAGACTTTGAAGACCGAGAACATTCCACAGTGGCTCTCACAGATCCTTGACCCCAAAGCTGTCCACCCCCCACTGCCTGTTGATAAAGCCCGAATTGTTAAATCGTGGCTGCTAATCTACAAGAACAATTCCTCTCTCTTCCAAACACCATCCTCAATCAACTATATCCCAAACTAGCTGAGTACCAGCTGAGCCGCCTTGCTAAAGCGTAACCCAACATTCCACCCTCCTTCCCCAATTAGAAGGTCCTTTCAGACTGTTCTTGTGCCTGGCTTTTCTGACTAAAGGCTTGAGCTAATGGGGCTCTATCTGATGTTCTTCCAAAGCTATTAGTATCACCCTTAGATCCCTAGAATCTAGCCCAGGGTCTGACTCACGGCACAACAGTTGGTTATAACAGAGGTAGCTCAGGACGGGGACAGGAGGAGGAAGTAATCTACTCTACTTGGGGGCAAATCAGAGGGCCTACCAGAAGCAGAGATGCTTGAGTGGGGTTCTGAGGGATGCATAGGAACCTGAGGGCAGATTGTTTGGGTGGCAGGGCTACTTCAAACCCAGGATCAGCTGGTGCCAGGCAAATGAGTCAGTTGCAGTCCCTACTCTCATCCCCACCCCCAAACCCCAGCACCAACACCTGACGTGAAATACACGTAGTCCAGGCCTTAAGCCATATTCCACGTGGCACCTGGAACCACAGAATGTCAGGGCTAGGAGAGCACTTAGAAATCATCCACTCTGCCTGCCCAATTCATAGATGGGGCAACTGAGGCATAAGAGCTGATGGGACCTCCCCAGAGTCCCCCAAGTCATGGAGGATCACATTAAGGGCCTCAGCCATTATCCTGAAAATGACAGTGGGTCACTGGAGGTTTAGCAAGGATGGGGTGTGGCCAGATATGACCCTTAGCCAGATCAGCCTGGCAGGGCTCAGAGGTGGAAGGATCAGAGGGGCAGGCGGCCCTGGGGACAGGCAAACCGAGGAGGAGGCTGAGCAGGAATACGAGTGACGGTTTCAGGTCTGTGGCACAGGGGTCACCAGGGTAGGGGTGGGAGCAACCAGTGAAATGCTGGCCCAGAGGGACACTGGACCAGCTTGGAGTGTGGAGGCAGCAGGAGGGGCCCAGTTACGGAGGAGGAGGAGGAGGGGGTAAGACCACCTCGGCCTCACCAAAAAGCATCGCCCTCAGCCTCCTCTCCTGGCCACCGCTCTGCCCCATCGACCTGCCAAGCTATCAGAGGGCTTTGCTTTTTCTCCCACAATCACAGTCATGGATCGTGACATCTTTTTCCCCCCTAAGTTGACTGCCAGGAAGCTGAGAATGAAATTTTAGTAGGTCTTTTCCCATCAGTATAATTATCCCCTAAGTAGCCTTCTATATGCTAAGGGCCGAAAGCTCTGGAGTCAGATGTACCTGAGTTTGAATCCTGGTGCTACCAACCATCAGCTGCATTTCTCCACCTCCCTGGGCCTGTTTCCTAATCGGCAAAATGGGGAATAAAGTACCTGCTTCTCGAGGCTGTTTCGGGATGATGAGAGACGACGCCCAGGCCATGCTGGCACAATGTGTACAGTGGAAGTATTGGTTCTCTTGCCCCTTCTTACTGTCCTCCTTGGTCTTTTTATTTCAGCTGTCAGTAATGAGGAGGACAGTGGTGGGTGATTCTTCCTAGATCTGGGCCTACACTTTCCACCATAATTTACTTCGGAAATGCAGGCACTGGAAGTTGCTTCGAATGAGAGATGGGAATTAGGGGAACGGGGGAAGCAAAGGAACAAATCTAGTTCAACAAAGAGGAAACATGAGAGGCTGAAAGGCTCCCCCACCACCTCTCCTCCTTTTTCTCTTACCCACCAGATCTGCCCTGGCTCCTGGCTGCCTCCTGCTTCCCGCTCCACACCTGATGGTTCTCCAGGGCCCCAGCGGCTGCCTGGTCCCCAGCTGGTGCCGCTCCTGTCTCCTGAATCTGACCCAGGCCCCTCCTGCAATCTGACCACCACCCCTGCCACCAGCTGCTTCCTCTTTGTCTCCTCTCCCAAGATCCTCACTCGGATGCACACTGAGCATGAAACACAGTGACCGCTGGCCCATCCCTCCATCTGCACCTGGCATAAGGTGACCCTGACTCTGCTTTCTGCCAGCTCAAGTCTCTCACCAGACATGGTGGGGACACCTGGGCTCCCTGGGCTTGCCTCTCACAGCTCCCTCTCAGCTTTCCAGTCTCCATCCTCTCAGCTTCAGTTTTCCCTGCCTGGGAAATCGGAGTTGGGAAACATAAGAGCTCCTTTTGTGTTAGGAACCTGAGGAACTATATGGTCCAGAGAAGTCATCAGTTATCAGCTGTGACCACCTGGGGCCTGCCTATAGCACAGCATTGCAGAATCTGAAGCTGCACCCAGGCTCTGCAAGAGGAGGGCTGTGTTCAATTAGAAATGTCTGCCGTGCATGGGTGCAATTGATTAGCAATGTCTGCCGTAAGTGTGGATTTATGAATGCCAGGAATTGCCATCCATGGTCTGGTCCAACTTTTATCAGGACACTATCTGTCATCTATCTATCTATCTGGAGGGACAGAGGGAGAGACAGAGAAAGAGAGAGAGAGAGGGATCCGTCATCAAGTGCAATACTTCCCCAGGCATAGACTTGTGGGATATGAGCTGATACCTGGACACAGAATATGACAGACAGTCCTGACTCCTATTAGTGAAGAAGATATTCCCTTTACAATCCTTTTCCTTTCTCTCAAGGAGGAAGTTTGCATTTGGCCCTGGGATGTCTTTAACAGCTCCCCAACAGCTTCTCATTTCTCCTTTAAGAGACAACAGGTTTACCGCAGGCAATGAATATCAACACTATTTTGCTGCATTGTACTTATTTTGTACAGTTACCTTTTATTTATAGCGAAAATCTTTTTTTCATTTACAGAGTAACATGAAGATTCTTCTTTAAATAAATGTATTTCAACAAAAATGAATTGACTTAAAGAAAAAATATTAAGAAAATAATCACAAAGATGGTACACACAGACCATTGAAAGATACGGATGTATACATACATATATCACAAATGATTAAGACTTAAAAAAATATAACCCTCCCAAGAAGTGGGAGCCTCCCAAAGTGGAGCAGGCAAATACAATTTCCATTTGGGGGGATAAGGAAACTGACTTGCAGAGAGGTTTAGTATGTACCTGAGTTTGAATCCTGGTGCTACCAACCATCAGCTGTGTTTCTCCACCTCCCTGGGCCTGTTTCCTAATTGGCAAAATGGGGAATAAAGCACCTGCTTCTCAAGGCTGTTTCCAGATGATGAGAGATGACGCCCAGGCCATGCTGGCACAGAACACACAGCAAAGGTGTGGAGCCCCTTGGGGTCTGAAACATTCAGGACCCTATGGCAGGAGGTGAGACTGTCCCATAATTAAGCTCTTTTCAAGGCACAGACCCAAGACTCAGACAACCCCAAGAAAAGGGAGTTTATTTTGGATATAAAGGCAACAGGAATCCTGACCAAATGGTCGGCAGCCCTCTCGGCAGTAAGTATTTTTGTTTTGGGAGCCCAGGGTCCTCTGCTTAGTGGCTCAACGCTTGTCTACCTTTTCCAGGGAGCCTCGTCCACAAGCACCTGCACCCACGGGCCTCCCTCCCTGAGTTCAAACGCCTGAGACAGAGATGATCTGATTGGCTGGTTCAGGCCGGGGCTACCTGATTGGACAGAGCTTGGTGCCAAGCCCCCTCATAGGCTGCTGGTCAGCCTGTGGGGGCGTGTGGTCAGGTGCCCAATCAGTTATGAGCAGGGCCTATAAGTGCAGGTGCTTGAGGGCTGCCAGGTCAGAGTTAGCTGGGACTGGGTCACTGTCCTGCTGGGATAGAAGGTTGTCTGAGCCATTGCAATGTTATCTGCCTGAGGCAGAGGAAAGATAAGTGGAGGGGTCGTGGTGGGGGTCACGAGAAGGAAGGGGCCAGTTGTGTGAGAGGGGGAGGACTGCAAGGTGGAGGGTGAGCCCCTTGCAGTAGGGGGCATGCCAGACCTAATGGGCATGGGACTCTGGCTCTCTGTGTGACTGTCATGTGCAGGGAGCCCAGACGAGGTGGTGCCAGGTAATTAATTCATTCATCCAGGGTATACCATGGGCCACTGGGCACTGTGTCTGGGGCAGTGAAAAGATGATGAGGCCCTGCCCTGTGAAGCTGCCCTTCTGAAGGCCAGTGTGCCAGCCCCTGAGCTGCAGAGGAGACTCTCCGGTGGAGGGGGAGTGGGAGGTCCCAGGCCTGGCAGCATCAGGGCCCACCACTAGAAGGGGACTGCTGCCCGGGCCTCAGACTCCAGGGTTTACTCTCCAGCAGCTTCTCTTGTGGGTCTGTGAAGTCACTGTGGGAAGATGCAGCAGGCGTCCACTTTGTGGGGGCATCTGTGCCCATACTTGGGCCCCAGCATTAAGGATGCAGCAGCCAAGCACTCTGAGGTCTCAGAGATCCCAAGGGAAGAGTAACAGGGCCTCTTTCTCCAGGCGCCCTGGGTCCCTGACAGCTTCTCCCTCCAGCGCTGATGCTAGAAGTTTCTGGCAGATTAAGGGAGGCAGTGCTTCCCTCCAGGGGAAGCAAAACCAGCATTTGAGGGGTCAGGGAAGTTTATCACCCAGATAAGGGGGAGAGCACAGCAGGCCCAGGGAATAGCGCATGCAACAGAGGGGATGTGAGGGAGCTCCGAGTGGCTCAGGAGGATGGTAGGAGGACTGCAGAAGGGGCTGTCCCCGCACGACACCGGAGGTGCAAGTACCGGGCTGAGAAATGGGGCTGAGGGCAGTGGGGCCTGTGCAAGGTTTTGAACCGAGGAGGAGCATGGCCATATTTGGGTTTTGGAAAGCACATTCAGGCTGCCCTGTGGAGGTGGAGGGGAGGGGAGGAGGCTGGGGTCGAAAACCCAGGGAGGAGGTCAGGGCAAGGAGCCCTGGAGAGCTGTGAGGACTGATACTGGTGAATAGCTGCAGGGCTGGAGAGGAATGATGCTTCAGAGCCTAAACTCGTGGGACTCTGTGATTAAAGAGGGAGTTGGGGAATTACCGCCCCTCTGCAACACACACAGTTCCTGGCTCGGGCAGCAGGACCAGGGAGCAGCAATGGAGGTTTGGAAATGGATGGGCCAAGTGTGCAGGACTGGGTGGGGGCCATCTGGGTGGAGACATCCAGCGGCAACTGGACACTGAGTGTCCTCATCAGTGCACTAAATACCCTCGACAGGGTCCTCCTCAGGCTCGGCACAGAGCAGGCAGCTGCCTGCCTCCCTGGCCATCTGTCTACACCAAGTGAGTTGGGTCCTGATCCTGGAGTTCTTGGAGGGACAAGTAAGCATCAGTGTTCAGGGGCAGGCGAGCATTAAAGGCCCTGACCTCCCCCTGCCCAGGAGGTCTCGCCCAGGGGAAACTGAACGGCTCCCTGGGGCCAGGGTCAGGGACCTCCTCTCCAGCCTCTCGAAGCACCAGCTCAGGGCGTGGCTGAAAATCCACCAGGTCTGGGACTCCTGGGGTGGGAGGCCCCAGGGGCTGGGGGTCCCAGTCTCTGGGGACTCTCTCCTGCAGGGAAGGGGGTAGCCTCTCTTCACCAGCCCCGCTGCCCCCAGGGGCAGTGCTTGGGGGGCTGGGGCCACCAAGGAGACTTGGGGAGAAGAGCAGCAGGTCATCCCCGGAGGGGAAGGTGCAGTAGGCATCGTCCTCCGCTGACAGAGGCCACAGGGGTTGAGGGGAAGACTCTGTGGGTGCGTCGGCCCCACCCTCATCAGGCTCTTCCTCTGCGCAGGGGTCATAAGTAAAGTACACCTGGCAGGCCTCTATCTCCAAGGCATCCGGGAGGTGGAAGAAGAAGTAACCCTGGTTGGTGAAGCAGCTGGTCAGTGAGCGGTTGCTGCTTAAGCATGAGGGCTCAGGCACCTTGTCCTGCTGCAGGAGCAGCTGTGTCACCTTGTCCCTCTCCAGCACTTCCAGTGGCGAGATCTCAGGCGCCAGGCCACCAGGGCTGAAGGACGATGAGGGGAAGGGCGAGGAAAGCCACTTCTGGCGGGAGAAAGGCAGGGGGTGGGTGAGTGGGGTCTTCCTTCACCTTCCTTCACCCTCCACTCCTTCCTCTGGATTCTCAGCAGCTCCTAACTCCTCCTCCTGAAGCAGTTGGCCCAGGGATGCCCCCTCCAGGAAGCCCTCCCTGACTATAGCCCCGTACTCCCCCAACTCACCTACTGGCTTGGGGAGCCCTCTGGGCCACCAGCCCAGGGAGACTGCCTGACCCACAGTCCAGCATAGGCCTGCCTGGCTCCCAGTAGTGCCCAGGAATGTTTGCTTGCTGAAGAGTGACTGTTTATTGGACACCTGCTGTGAGCCTGGCACTGTTCTAGATGCAGGGGACCGAGGAAAGCAGAGAATCCTCA